TACTTGGCTCACAATGTCCCCGTTGTTTCCGTAGGTATCAAAAAAACTCATATCCTGATTAAGTAATACTTGAACATATTTTGACCTGATGACAGCAGTCTGCCTTTCTCCCGTCATAATCCAGCATGAGACCTCTATTACATAGAAAAAAGTTAGTACAAATGCATAGAAGCATATTCTGTGATGAAAGAAATGCAGTGATGACTAATTCTTCTAATGAAAAATCCATCTTACCAATCCAGCCAGCAGCAAAAACGCCTGTGGCAATATAAATGATGGATAAAGCAAGCTGCAAGCAGACAATAAAACAGTTATTGAATATGTGCTCATTCCTTCAACTTCCATTTCATACATTGATACTCATTGAGAAGATGGTATAATAAAGAATACAAAAATGTGCAGAAAGACAACAAAGACTCTTGGTTACTATAGAAGTCCAAGGAGAAAAACAGAAAATTATAATTTAAGTCTGAATACAAATCAGAAGCCGCCAGTTAATCAATAGATTCTTTTTGCTGTGTATTCTTATAAATTATTTCAACTACACACATTTTTCTATAATGCAAAAACTTCTGAACCAATGTTGTCAGACAAAACTTGAGTTAGAATTACCTTTAAACTTATATATATCTTTTATATACATCTACTAGGACATTCTTGAAACATTTCGCACCTCATAATAGATAAACGACATGCTATATCTCTCTCATAATCATATAAAGTTGATAGGCGAAAAAGATTACCACCACACCTCCAAAGACAAAAATATACATTTTTTGTGCATAAAAATATTCTCAGTAATTCAGTGTGCCAATAGATTGGGAAATGAATCAGTGGCAAAACAATTAAACCCCAGAAAGCAAGCAACAGTTCAAACATACCATAGTAACACTTGCTTATGAACATCTATCAGCGGTAAAACAAGTAATGAATAAGCCTATGCCCCTCATATGAGATCTTCCCTTTCTTTTAGATGATTTCAACACTACTATTAAACAACCATCTTCCTTTATCAAACAAGAGGATTCAAATCTACGCATGGAAAGTTAAGCAGCAAACAGAAATTTCTATCCCTAGTACTAAAGCTACTACAAAACCTCAAACGATTAATTGGGAACACTGCATCCCAAACTTCTTAAAGCAGCTCAGGCTAACCGAAAAAACAAAAAGAAAAAATACCTACAAACAATAAATTCGAATACTATATGTCCCACACTTAAACCATCGGTTTCCAGCTCAATTTAAAAGAAGACTCACTTAATAGCACAGTTTCAATCCTTTTTGTCATCAGCCAAACGGAAAAAACACGTGCTAGGGTTTCAATAAATCAAGATAACTCACATCCATAAACTTCTGGTACTGCTCCGGGGTAATTCCATGCGTCGGCGGCGGGCCGCCTGGGTGGTTTTTGCCGATCCAGAGTATCTGAATTATCTTCGCGAAGTAGTGCAAGTACACCACGAGAGCCGTCCCGTGAGCCGCGGCTGCGAGCGATCCAACGGTCATGAGAACCCAATCGAGGCGGTCCGCGCAGGTGAAGAGCTGCGAGAAGGGCACGGCGGCCGCCGGCGGCTCGATCTCCTCCGGCTCCTCTATCTCCTCCTCCTGCTCCATCGGCTGGGCTGACGCGTCAGCACTCTGGTCCATGTACGGCGACGGCGACTCGGGCGGCTCAGACACCTCGGAGACCGGCGTCAAGGGCTGTATGTGTGGGGGCGACCACCCGAACAGCCCCCGAGAGATCATCATCTTGGCGGTGGAGAAATTACCGTTGTGTCCCTAGCTCGCTTCCTGTCCTCCTGGTACACCTCCCTCTGTCCCAAAAACCCTAAACCTAATTGTACCTATTTTTCTCTCTCCCTCTAAATTTAGCGGGATCTGTGCTAAATTTAGAGGAGATTTTGATGTTTTGATGTTTCGGTTTCTCTGTGATTTTCTGCTGTTTTTTGCTTTTTCGAAAAGCAGCAGAAGAGATGAGACGAAGAAGACGAAAAACAACGAGTCGTCGATGGGCTGGCGACTCGGTCAAACAAGGCGGAGAAAGACAAACAAGGAAGAAGCAGAAGCAGAAATATTGACTCCACGCACTCCCACTGTCACATACCCAAAAAATAAAATAAAATTTCAAAAATACGAAAATGAAAATGAAAACATCGTTCTTCTTCGTATTTCTGTTTTGGTTAACGGTCAAACGCCGGCGATGAAGATATGCGTTTTGGAGGGATTTGCAACCTGGGTAATGTTTTTTGGGGGTAGTTTGGTAATTTGGCGGGGAATGATTGTGTTGGTAAATGTGTGAACAGCTGTGCTGTGTGAGGTCTGCTGAAATTACGTTAGAGTCCAGGAGGTTGGGAGGTGGGAGGGTGACACGTGTGGATTTCCGTGATATGGGCGGGGAGATTAGTTGGCTTTTCGCTTATATTTAAATGGAATTTTTTAAAGATTTTTTTTTGGGAGTCTATGGGGTGTCATGTGTGTGAGTAAAGAGTGTAGGAGGAGCAAAAAGAGAGATATGATTGAGAAGGAGAAAGGGATGAGCTTTCTTTTTCTTTTCTTTTGGTGCCAGTGCATTTGCTCTGTTCCCTCTCATTCTTTTTCATTTTGCCTTTTGGGTTGGTAGGTACCATTTGTTTATTGGAGTAATGTTGCCAAGCTGTTCCCCCTTTTTCCTTCCTCATTGAAAGGAAAACAAATAATGTTGAGGGAAATATGTTATGTGTTATATTGTTACACACTTTGGGAATTGTCAATCTTAATGTGAATTCATGTTTGAATTCGAAAACAATGCCTATGTTTTCGCATAACTTATGAGAAAGTTCGTTGCTTTGTTTTCAAGTTCCGTTGAAGTTATGATCGATTTTCAATTATTGTTTGGTCTTGTGATGTCTGGTCTTCATTTTATTTAAGGAAATCATGAGTTCAAATCTTACAAACGACAATTGTTGAATTATCTTAACATTATAAACTTTTACTTTCTTCCTACGGATCTTTATATTCATCGAAAAGGATGGGAACCGCAAAGGCACCACTTCATTATGTGAATTTTAAGTTGCTTGTGTCACCTTGATTTGATGTTGAGCTTGCATCTGTAATTAATCAACAATAATCCGGCAGCAAAGTCTTAAGTAGTTAAAAAATCAAACCAACTTTTCTTAAAAGCATTTTATTACCATTTATTGGCTTTTTGGTTGATGTAATGTAGAATTCAATTCAGTTGTGTTAGCTTAGTATTATGCTGCGTAATCATGATGAAAGCAAAGTTTTTATGTTTATTGCATTCTAAGAAACATATTATAGAAAAAAATCATACTGCACAATTTCTTTTGATTATTATTATTGAACTTCATCAACACGATTAGTTGATGATAGATCTGAATTGACATGATTGACTTGATAACTAATTATATGTATTTGGAACATCAATATTAAACACTTGGATAGGGTGTGTACATCGGTTCGAAACCAATAAATTTTTATCAACCAATCCAATCCAATCCAATTTTTTTTATTGGATTTGAGATTTTACAATATGATCCAATATGTTCAGATGTCAGGATCCAATCCAATCCAATTCAGGATTGAATGATCAGTTTTTATGAAAATATGATAATCAGAAAGATAAGCGTATAGAATTCAATCCTATAGAAAATATCATTAAGTATGTTCTAAATAGACATAAATAAATTTTAGAAAACAACACTACAACATGAAGTTTGACATTTAGAATTCAAGTTACATTCATTCCTTAAAAAAAGAAATGCTCAAGTCAACACAAAAACATAGAAATCTAACATTTTTATGCTATATTAATATATTTTTTCGAAAGAATATCAACAAAGTTGTGTTAGTGTATTGGTGTAAGTGAAACGTGAAATGTGATTTATGTTTGAACACTAGGAAAGGTAAATATTTGCATTTATTTTTAAAAGGTTGAATCGGTTCGGTTTGAATTGGATTTTAAACTTTGGATTCACTAACCAAATCAATCCAATCGGTTTTTTATTTTTTTGGATCCAATCCAAATCGCTAATATTATCGAAACTAATGAAATTGGATTGAATTGGATTTGATTGGTCAGTTTTGACGAATTGGTTTAGATCCTATACAGCCCTACATTGGGACATGAATCTGAGACCAACAACTGTTTTTTTTTATTACAAAGAGGATCCACTAAATTCATCACATCATACATTAGTTTTAAAGAAACAGATAATGGCAATTTTGAAAACCAACAATATATTATCAAAAGGTTTGAATTTTATGCAAATCTTGTGACAACAATATCATTAGTAAACTTCCCACATACATCATGAAAAAAGAGCATTTATCTTATATCTGAAATCCTAGATTCAATTCTTCCTCTCCCAATATTACTTATATAAAAAAATATTTAAAGTTAGGTTTATTCGTAGCAATAGTCCTTCAACTAGACTCGAAATTACATTTTGGTCACTCAACTCAAATATTAGTTGCAAGGGTTACTCAATTGGGTGTTGTGTTGCACTATTAGTTCCTACCGTCAAGTCTGTGACTTTTTCTGTTTAAAATGATGATGTGACAAACATCTCTTAGATTATTGATGGGCAAATGTGACTTTTCAATTAGGATTATTTGTAGCAATGATTCCTCAACTATACTCGAAGTTACATTTTGGTCACTCAACTCCAAAAAATAGTTACAGAGGTCACTCAATTAGGTGTTGTGTTGGACCATTAGTCCCTGCCGTTAGAGAGACTTGACGGCAGGGACTAATGGTGCAACACAACACCCAATTTAGTGACCTCTGCAACTAATATTTGAGTTGAGTGACCAAAATGTAACTCCGAGTATAGTTGAGGGACCATTGCTACAAATAAGCCTTAAAGTCAATTGGGTTTTTGTTTCTAGGTGCACTTTTAAGTTTTAACAGTAATTTTTTTCTTCTCGCTTTTATTTTCTGATGTGGCAAGCAAGAGGTCTTAACGAACAACAGCCAATACAGGTGGCTCAACGAGTATAACAGATAAGTCGTCCAAACAGAGAAGGAAATAGATAAGGTGATCTCCACAAACACCCCGAGTCCACTTTTGTTCCTGCTTCACTCACAAAATTCACAAACTCCAAAAAAAACCACTGGCTATGGCGACCCTGCAGAACTCACCTTCCCTCCACAGGACCCTTGTGCTCAACTCTTTCACTAAGGTTCTCAAATCCCTCTCTCTCTCTCTCTCTCTCTCTCTCTCTCTCTCTTGTTTTCCATTGTAGCTCTATGAATTCAATGAGTGTTTGTGTTTAAATTTTGTTTCTTTTTCACTTGGGTAATATTCTTTGGGTTTTATGGCATCAGTTACATAAGCAAAGCACATTCCATTGCTGTAGAAGAAGCAATTCGTTCCTGGTAAGAGCAGAGCAAACTCCAGCATCTTCAACATGCTCTCCTTCTCAAGGTCCTTCTTGCTTTATACCCATATTTGTGGAATTTAATCTGCATTGTTGTTACATATTATTTCCCTTTGTAAATTGTAATCACTCATTCATGGTAGAAGTAATAATCTTTGGCAGTTTTAGGCACAACTTTTGGCTTTTGTATTATACTGATTGATTGATGACATTGGGTACCCATCATTTTTGTTTTTGAATTTCCATCTAAGTTTGTGTTTATCTTTGGCAGATAGATCTGGGAGACGCCAAGTACTAGCTGCAGGGACAATTGCTTCTTGGGTTTTTCTAACTAACCAGCATTTTGTGTCATGTAAGGAATTTTAACAACTTCAATTGTTCTGTACTTTGTCCTTTCAAGTGTAGCTTTGTTGTACCAGGTTTTCTAGATTCCATGCTAAATACTAGATAGTGTTCATGCACTAGCAACAATGCCCATTCTGTGTGCAAAGCGTTGCCTTCTTCGATTAATGATGACTGATAATCTAAAAGAACACCTTTGATATGGCTCAGTTGCTGCAGAAAATAAAAAGGGATTTCTGCCAGTCACGGACAAGACAGACGGGTACGAATTTGTTTATCCCTTTGGGTGGCAGGTGAGAGTTTCTGGGTTTTATCTACCTCTGGCTTAGGTAATTGATCATTGAGGTGGTAGACATTTAAAGTTAAGGCCAGTTCTTCAATGGGTTCTTTTTTTTTCTCTTTCTGGGGAGAGCGCAGGAAGTAACCGTTGAAGGTCAAGACAAGGTCTTCAAGGATGTCATTGAGCCATTAGAGATTGTAAGTGTGAATGTCTTCCCAACCGTAAAGCAAGACATTAAGGAATTCGGGCCCCCACAACAGGTTAGCTCTGTGATCTTTGCCACTAGTGTTGTGTCTCTAGCATTAACCAGAATCCCAGAGGTTGAAATCAATTTCTGTTTACATTTTGCTCAGCCCTTCCTTACATTGGTGGGTGAAAGACTAGTAAGTTACCATACTCATTTACTTAATGATCTCAGGTGGCTGAAACTTTAATCAAGAAGGTTCTGGCTCCTCCCACCCAGAAAACAAAACTGATTGAGGCAGTAGAGGTTTTGTTCTCTGATTTGATTTTGCTTGATATTACCATAATGTGTTCAACTTTTTTATGCTTTCATGAAGGGGAAGCAATCAGCTAATTAAAAACAATGAAATCTCCTGAAATATGTAGTTACATATAGCAAATTTGTGATAGAAGTGAAAATAGGAAACCAATGAGCTTCTGTTTGGAAATGCTGCAAAACTTTTGTTGATCAGGAGGTAGCATAAAACAGTATGGCAGATGCAGTAGCTACCTTCTTATATGGAACTTTAATATATTTTTATCCTTGATTCTAGGTTATATGGCCTAATTGAAAGCTGATTAGTTGCTTTTGTATCTCTGGTACAGCATGAAATTGATGGGAAAACATATTACACTTTCGAGTTCGTTGCGAAGGCTCCAAACTATACTCGCCACGCTCTCAGCACAATATCTATTGGCAATGGTATGAAACTGGGAAATGCATCCTGTTTAATGCTTCTTCTATTCTGCTTCATTCAATTTCTCAGCAGGCTTGGCATTTGCTACATCATTTTTCACCACGCCTGAATCACAGCTTAGATATAGATAGTTTTGTAGGTCGGCATCTTAGTGTAAAGTTTTGTTTCTGGTTTGCAGGCAAGTTCTTCACTTTGACCACTGGGGCCAATGAGAGGAGGTGGGGTAAGATGAAAGACAAATTACACACCGTCGTTGATTCTTTCAAAATCTTCAAAGTCTGATATGGAGTTTCATGGCTTCCAAATCTGATTAGGAACGGCTCACATTCGGTTGCAATTAGCAAATACCATTATGCTCATCAACATTTTTCTTTTGTGTTCTTATCTTTTTTCTTCATTTCCTTTTTTTCATTTTGTATTTTTGCGAGGGTGGGAGAGGGGGAGAAGCATTTTTCTTCTGGATAAATATATTATATAGTCATTGATATATGAAATATATTTTGCCTAACCAGCATTCACATCAGATGCACATCATGTCACAGCCTTTTTCATTCAAATGCATCCTTTCAGATATTGGGCCTTTCTCCATTGCGAATTACATTGATGCGGATTCAATACGGATTTCTATTTTGATCCGTTAGATGACTTGGGCGGTGGAGATTTAACACAACAAACAAGACATAAAAAAAAACCAATATCTGACTTTGCACCGCCATTGGAGAACCAGAGAAACAACAGACCACTCAACCCATGCTCTCTCTTTCCCATTTCATCTCCTCCATGTTCGATTTTTTCAGCTCTCTTTTTGAGTCAATATATATATCGGATTCAATAAACAATGACATAAAAGAAAGAAAAAAAACCCATAAATTATTGAAAAAATCAGCTCTAAAAACTCATCTCAGAAATCATTGTCTAAGAAGCAAACCCCTGTTTCAGACCAAAAAAAAAAAAAACCAAACCCAATTGTGTTAGAAAAAATAAAAATAAAAACCAGAGAAAAATTAACTCTTTGTTTGTGGAGAAGCTTTTGTTTGCTGTCAGCGTTTGCACTTCAATTTAGTCTGGTGTGATATATTTTGGTTCTAAATTTATGTTCTTTGAGCTATTGGTATGGAGTAAAGCTTGGGAAAACTCTTCAGGTGGGGAAGAGAACTCAGAAAAGCACGGGGAAGAATAGTGGTCTTTTGCTGATCAGTTTGCACAACCACTGCCCCATTTGCCATACCTCCTCCATTGATATATTTTGACTAAAAAAGATAGATGAAAAAAATCGAACATTGAAGAGATGAAATGAGAAAGAGAAAGCATGGGATGAGTAGTGGTATCATGTTTCTCTGTTCTTAAATGGCGGTGCAAAGTCAGATATGGGTTTTTATTTTTTTTTGTCTTGTTTGTTGTGTTAAATCTCCACCGCCCAAGCCATCTAACGGATCAAAATAGAAATCCGTATTGAATCCGCATCAATGTAATTCGCAATGGAGAAAGGCCCTTCAGATATTAATTGAAAATAATTTATATCGAGGGCACAATACTTTACCAAAAGAAATACCATACCGCAAAATTTTCAAGGTAGAATTCGTCAACAGCACAATGATCCAACATAAATAAATGGTTGCTTATGTTTTAAAAAAAATTCAAAACATGGTAAAAGACAGTGTATATTAAGGCATTAACACCGAACTAAATTTTAATCGCATCCCATTGCCATAAGAAAAAGGAAACGATGAATATAGTATCAAATACAAATTGAAGAAAACCAAACTACTCCAGGAGTACTAACATAGCGCAATACTAACAAAACTGTCATAGCAAGAACGGAAATCACTTGGCTTCAATATAAAAAGATAACACAACATTAATTTAGATGATCCCAATCTTGTTGGCCACATCCAAGGCATCATAGTCTGGTGTCAACCTAACATATGCCTTCTTCGTTCCATCGGGCCTGCACAACATAAGTTGCAGGTTAGATTAAGATTCATGAAAAGCAACATGATTATGCAGACATTTAACCAGCATGTTCCATGATTAGACCAGCACAAATACGGAAACATTGATCAGCATGCAATGAAACCTCAGCACTGCTAAAACGACTATAAATTAATAACATATACCTGATCAAGGTGTTCACTTTCTTGGTCTGAATGTCGTACATCTTCTTCACTGCATCTTTAATCTTCTTCTTATCAGCTCGGATGTCAACAATGAAAACAAGTGTGTTGTTGTCCTCAATCTTCTTCATTGCAGACTCAGTCGTCAATGGATACTTGAGAATTTGATAATGGTCCAACTTGTTTCTTGGTGGTGCACTAATGCGGGGATACTTGGGGTTCCTTTCCTTCTTCAATGTCCTTGGCCTATGAAATGTGACTGATGTCCTGATCTTCTTGGCCTTCTTCTTGAAAGTAGGGCCGGATTTCACAGCCTTGGCAGTCTTCAAGGCTTGGGCCTTTGGATCACTCTTCTTCGTGCTGTCAGCTGCAAGAGGCAAACAAATAACAATTTAGGTTGCATATGACAATTAAATGAAATTATGTGCCTGGAACTCGGTTGTTCCTGGACTGAAACTACCACTTAAAGAAAAATATGAATATTACATTCTTATGACATTCTTCCCAGCAACCCAAAGCAAAATTAAAAGGTGAATGAATAAATCCTATCCCGCAGGTTTCCCAAAACAAGTAATCATGCAAACTTACTCAATATACCCCTCAAAAAATAAATACATAACCATTTCAAAAGCAGTAACTGAAAACGAAATGAAAGTTCACCGAATAGATAGAAAATAACATACACATGCCATTTGATTCGGCCACTGGCTTGCAAATCTTACTCTAAACACGCATACAACGACGAAACGTAGAAGCAGTGAAATGAGATTTAGTGGCATAAAAAAATGATTTTTCACAGAGTAATCGCCTACATCAAATACAACTATTGAAACCCACTAATTCATTTTTTTCCTTTTCTGGGTATTACACAAAATATATCAGTTCTATGAAAAAGGAGGTACCTTTAGCAGGAGCCATTGCTCTGAGCTCAAGGAGAAACAAACCTACCTGACAAGCATTGCGCAAACAGAAAAAAAGGACAAACTTAATCAATACGGATATTAGAAAAAGGCAGGAAGACAGACAAATCTCAAACGCATAACCAAAGCGATAAATCGTAAAAATATTAAACACAAAAAGAGGCTAAATCACAGCCCAAGTACATAGCTAATTCAGCTTAAGAAATTCACTTCGTCAATGAAATTGCTTAGAAAACTGTACTAAGAGTCCTAGATAGCGGCGAAGATGGAGTCTTGAAGAAGTACCTGTAGATGAGGAGCAGCTGCGGCCGAAGTGTAGGGTTTTCGAGTGGAGAAGACGAATCTGAGCTCCTTATATAGCTACTCTGTTTTTTATTACTAACAATGCCCTTGCTTCGCTACGGGCCTTGAGCTTTACTGAAAACATAATTCTTGGGCCTCATTTTAGGCCCAAAAGAAATAAAACAAACGAAATGGATATGGCGTTAACTGCCCAATACGTGATTTTTTCTAATTTTGTTAAGTAAATTTTCCACTTTTTGAATTATAATTGAATTTTAATGTGTGCTGAAAATTTCACTAAAATCCCCCTCCTTTTAGACAAGTGAAGTGTTTGGTTACTGTAGTTCAAAATTTTTGCGAACACTTTGTATTGTAATTTCAGTTAGTACTAGTATGCTATAATATACATGTAAGCGAGAAATTATACAATGATACCGTATCACCACGTCAGCCGGTGATACTTCCATTCAAAATATGCCACGTATTATTATTATTTTTAAATAATTAAATCTTTTTTATACAGCTGGACTTTCAATATTTTTTTATCTTTAAAATAAAATTGAGAAAATAAGAATATCCAAAAGACAGAAGAACCACCGCCCACCCCAACCCTGGCTCCCTTGACTGACGCGCCCTCTCTATCATTTTCTTCCTCCGTCCATATCTCTATTCCATAAACAACGACCATATCTCTATTTCATTGGATCAATGTGCAGAGAGCATCATAACGCCTTTTTTTTTGGGCTGATTTTTCTCCACAATATTACCAAAGGGATTAAGATTCTCCTTCTCCTCCTCCTCCTCCATCACTCACTTCCTGATACATATTAAGACAAAAAAACACCAACCCAGTTTACAGTTTACTTTTTTTTCTTGAGCTATGCTTGAAAATGAAAACCCAAGTTGAAGATTTAGATTATTTTTCGAACTGGGTTTAAGTGATGGATACTCCTGACATACTTAGAATATATGATATTGGTTTTGTTTTCTGCTTCTATGGTTTAAGAGATCTTGCAGATTTTTATGGAGAGAGAGAGAGGGAGGGGCGGCAAGCAGTGGGAGTGGGGAAATTGGGTTGGGTTGGGGTGGGAGGGAGGGGGTTATGGCGTCTTTTGTTTTTTGTCTTTCTAAAATTTTATTCTAGATGTAAATAATGAATTTTAAATACAGCTCGAAAAAAAAATCAAATTTATTTAAAAATAATTGACACATGGCGTATTTTGAGTGGAAGTATCACCAGCTGACGTGGTGATACGGTACTATTCTATCATTTCTCCATGTTAGCGTATGTCATTATTTATTTTTTATATATAGAATATGTGAATTAGACTAGTTGGCCGGATCAATATACATAAAATCCCTTTGGAATTCTTAGACACTTTTTTGTATTTGTACAGAGAAAACCAAATGACTGTATCAGAGTATGAGTTACTCATGCTTGCCAAAGCATCCGCAACCATGTTTGCCTCCCGGAGAAAATGACTAATACAAACTTCTTCTTTTTTAACGGAAGAAGCAAAAATGAAGAAAGTGATTCATTCATCAACAGCAAAAGAGTGTAATACATGAGTCTCAAAAACATCTTGGAGCCACACAACTTGCAATTTCAACTGCATTGGATTCTAATGATGCCTTCAGCAATTTCAGACCCTAAGAACTAATGAAAAGAAAATTATCATTTTGAATAACAACACCACCTCCAACCAAAACAAAAAAGAAAAGAACTGCGGCAAAGTAGAGCCTACAGAATAATGCATGATGGTTATCGTCTGTTTGTCGATCGAGTGTGTAGAGTAGAAATCGAAACATATACACATGCTCCCCAATTTGAATCAATTAAGAAAAGAACTTGAAAATTCACATGCTCCCCAAAATATGCACGATATGGTAGACATAGCGCTTCACTTCCAAATTGTCCATTATCATGTATGTAACAACATCTTTCACATACCCTGCTTCACCGCCACACCAGACAATCCTTCCGCGGTAGCCTGTGCAGCGACATAAGGCACCTGTGTGGAGAGAGTATAGTTGCACTTGGGGCAAATGGCTCTAGGGTCATCTCGGCTACATACCGGCGGTGGTAGCTCCGACGCGGACATGTACACCTTTTTAGCCAATGATTCATCATTGTTCAGCAGATGATCAGGAACATTAGCGCACCACCAATGTTGGTGTCTAGGATTCAATAACCCCAACACAGGCCAACTTGTTATATGCGTCTCTTCTTCACTAATCACTATTTCAAATTTATAAATTTTCAAAGACACTCAATTATATACATCTAACATATGAGTTAAAAATTTCTTCATTTTAATTACCAAAAAAAAAAACATGCAGAAAAAAATATTGATTGTTTCGAAATAAACAAACAAACAAACAAACCGACATTAGAAAAGCTTATTATTACATATCCTTAAATCCCAAATAACGTAAGCTCCAAATTGACATCATAAAGAAATACGAAACTGATGAGTTCATAATGCAGAAACATTTTATGCCTTCTTATTATCCAGGAACACTTTTGTAAGAACTGCACTGGTCTCCAACGATGCTTTCAACAGCTTCAAACCCTACCAACAGAAAAAAAAAATTAAAAATATATATATATATATATATATATATATATATATATATATATATATATATATATATATATATATATATATATATATATATATATATATATATATATATATATATATATATATATATATATATATATATATATATATATATATATATATATATATATATATATATATATATATATATATATATATATATATATATATATATATATATATATATATATATATATATATATATATATATATATATATATATATATATATATATAAAAGTCGAGCCTCATCTTGGTTTGAACTTGGAATACATATATATTTGGCGAATATATATATATACAAGGATAGAGGAGAAATACTGTCTAAAAGACACTGTAACTCAGGACTATAGCATCTATTCAAGTCTGTATTGATTTGATTATATGTAGAATATATTCATACTATTATTTGGTTATATTCTAATTGTTGTCCAACATAAGGAAATAACATTTTTGATGCAACTTGCAAGTTGGCCTACAATTAAAAACTCAAAAGCATGTATAAATATGGGAAATAAGTTAGGAATAATTCAAACCTCTTCCATGCCAAGATTAACCGCTTTCTCTTCAAGAGCACCAATCTCCTTCACATTGAACTTGTTCAGCATATCTATACTTGAAATGGTAGACATTGGCTTCACCTCCAAGTCATCCATGACCATGTATGTCACTACTCCCTTGACATACCCTCCCTCGCTGGGTCTTGCCACGGTAGGTGCTGCTGGAGAAACATAAGTCACCTCAGTGGACATGCCACGACTGCAATTTGGGCAAACAGTTCCAGACACATCGGAAATTCGGCGATTGCAACGTGTACAAAGGTAGAACTGTTTAGCATTCGAGTCAACGTTGTTGGTCAGCAAAGGAAGGATATTGGCACCAGCAACTGTTACCTTTGGTTCCAGCAACATGTCCTTGTCAAGATTGGGTTGCAAGTATGTGTCATCGAGATTTTCGACACTCTCATAAAGCTTTCCCAAGCTACCAACCATGCCGTCTTTGGAGAGGAGTTTGATCACAGTCCCTACAGGCAGAGACAGGAGAGTGAAGAGAAAATCAACAACATCCTTGCTCGCTTCTGCAAACAAAACTTTGCCACGAGTTGAGTCCACCAGGAGCTTCATGCTCACACTTGTGGTGTTGGAGTTGGAGTTGGAGTTGGAGTTGGAGTTCGAGGTTGCCATTGATGGAAAATATTGAGGGTTAGGTTGTTACCTATCAATTTACAAATGTTAGGAAAGCACAAGCACTCAAATTATACCTCTTCCCTAAACCGGTAGTCCACATCTTCATAAAGACAAATTGAGACAAAACCAAGACACTTATGTCCTTCAAATTTGTCCTCCACCGAGAAAGAAGAACCTTTCCTTTTTCTCTTTCCTCTTCTTTTCTTTATTACTTTATAATAGTTTTCAGAAGAAAGCAACACTGCATAGACATATACATTTCGATCCTCTCAAACTTAATAAAATTTCTTTAGTTGCTAAGGATCCACTGGTTTAATAAGATTTCTTTGTTGCCCAGGATCCAAGTGTTGTGGTTTGGAGCCAAGCTCTCTCATAGATAGTCGTGAATTCGAGTCCTAACATGTGTGTGTGAATTTATGTGAATATCCATTTCAATAGGAGAGGCCCTATAGAAAAAGTTTCCCAAGTTAAAAACCACTCTTAAATTTGAGGCAATCCAATATAATACATGCAATTTGAGACAATCTAATATAATACTCTCTCCACCCTCCTTAGTGAATGATAAATAATAATAACAATAAATTTTCCCATTCTTTTTTCATACGAGTGATAAATGACTGTAAACTAATCTAAATTATGAGAATGAGACAATTTTTCCTTTTTATTGAAAAAGAAGGACCTTTCTTTTTTCTCTTTCCTCCTTTTCTTCATTATTTTATAAATGTAATCATGTAGGAATCTTGCTTTTCAATTTTGTCACTTTGTAATAGTTCTCAAACTTGTGTTTTTTTCCCCTTGAAAAATTTGTAGTTTTTTTTTAAAAAAACCTGAAAGTATATACTATCATAAACATAAAACCCATGGCAAATCAATCGGAATTGTCAATGGGAGTTTATCACAACGTTGTGGTCTTCCTCTTTCCCGACCATAAAAACTTACTTATAACAGGGATAACATTATTTCAGTGTCCCCGAACAATAACACAATGACATGTGGAAAAATTATCTTATGTGTTATTGCGTCATTAGCCGGGGATAGCACTGAAAAAGTTATCTCATGTGTCATTGCGTCATTAGTCGAGAATAGCAAAAAGTGCTAACCCCGTTACATGAAAGTCTTTTTCCCATGGGACACATGGTTCGAACCTCCATACTAACACCTTATGAAAACCATCCAAATATTATCCTCCTCCCCCTCCCTAGCGATTAACAAAAACGAAAAAAATCATTTGAAAAATTGAAACTTTTGTTAACCAAAAAATGTATTTACAAATTAGCATGACATATTATACAAAAACCCATATATTGCTTATTTGGAGAGAAAACCCTTAAACTAGCCACTTTTCATTTTCTAATTGGTGGGCTTTTGTATAGGGAGCTGATTTTCTCACTCATCTTTTGTCCATTTACTTTTTACTATAACTTACAATGAAGTGTAAAGTGGATAAAAGAAGAGTGAGAATATAAAATTTTCAACAAATGGAGTGTAAGTGGACAAAAGGGGAGTGAGAAAATCAGCACCCTTTTGTATAATATCTCATGTTAGAATGAGCCTATTTGTGAAAAGCCCTAATTTTTGTGTGGGTTCATTGTAGTTTATACCATCGTAATTTATTTTTATGAATATTTTAACTTAAAAAATTTAAATTCTAAAAACGCAAATTTTATGTTAATATATTTAAATTCCTTATAATTTTATATCACTACATCAACTTCAAGCCCTTTTTTTGGGTATTATATTTGTTAATGCATTTTTATTTTAAAATTGAGATTAGGGTAGGGTCTTTTTTTTTTTTTTTTTGAAAAATTAAGAGGGCAACTATTTTTTATTTTATAATTTAATAAAGCTGCGAGATCAAATTTTAATTATGCATGATTGGAGGAAAAATCAATTTGAATTTAGACAATACATGAATATCATGCCCTACCCCGTCTTCATTGGATGTGTTCCCGATAGTACACTAGGAAAACATAGACCGTTTGGAAAAAACAAAACAAAAACAAAAACAAACCGATATTAGAAAAGCTTATTATTACATATCCTTAAATCCGGAATAACGTAAGCTCTAAAATGACATCATAAAGAAATACGAAACTGATGAGTTGAAAATGCAGAAACATTTTATGCCTTCTTATCACCCAGAAACACTTTTGTAAGAACTGTACTGGTCTCCAATGATGCCTTCAGCAGCTTCAAACCCTACAACAGAAAACAAAAATATATATAAAACATACAATGTCAAATAATAAGTTTCAAAATAAACAGACATGAATTAGAAGGAAGTAACATTTTTAATGAAAATAAAAGTAAAGAAAATAACATTATGACATGCGGGAAGTAACATGACTCAAAATCTATTATAACTTCACACCAAAATAATAAAAAAATCTACTATAACTTAAAAGGGGGATGCAACTTGCAGGTTGGCCTAAAATTTAAAAGTCACAAGCATGTAGAAATATGGGAAATAAGCTAGGAATAATTCAAACCTCTTCCATGCCAAGATTAACCACTTTCTCTTCAAGAGCACCAACCTCCTTCACATTGAACTTGTTCAGCATAGCTATGCTTGAAATGGTGGACATTGGCTTCACCTCCAAGTCATCCATGACCATGTATGTCACTACTCCCTTGACATACCCTCCCTCGATGGGTCTTGCCACGGTAGGTGCTGGAGAAATATAAGTCAACACAGTGGACATGCTACGGTTGCAATTTGGGCAAACAGTTCCAGATACATCAGAAATTCTGCGATCGCAACACGTACAAAGGTAGAACTGTTTAGCATTCGAGTCAATGTTGTTGGTCAGCAAAGGAAGGATATTGGCACCAGCAACTGTTGTCTTTGGTTCCAGCAACATGTCCTTGTTGAGATTTGGTTGCAAGTATGTGTCATCGAGATTTTCAACACTCTCATAAAGCTTTCCCAAGCTACCAACCATGCCGTCTTTGGAGAGGAGCCTAATCACAGTCCCTACAGGCAGGGACAGGAGAGTGAAGAGAAAATCAACGACATCCTTGCTCGCTTCTGCAAACAGAACTTTGCCACGAGTTGAGTCCACCAGTAGCTTCATGCTCACACTTGTGGTGTTGGAGTTGGAGGTTGCCATTGATGGAAAATACTGAGGGTTTTAGGTTATTACCTATCAATTTACAAATGTCAGGGAAGCACAAGCTCTCAAATTATACCTCCCCCCTAAACCGGTAGTCCACATTTTCATAAAGACAAATTGAGACAAAACCAATTTAACATAAGACAGCTATGTCCCTCAAATTTGTCCTCCACCGAGAAAGAAGAACCTTTCCTTTTTATTGGCGAAAAAGGAAGAAAAGACCTTTCTTTTTTCTCTTTCCTCTCCTTTTCTTTATTACTTTATAATAGTTTTCAGAAGAAAGAAACACTAGTACTACATAGACATATACATTTCGGTCCTCTCAAACTTAATAACATTTCCTTAGTTGCTAAGAATCCACTGGTTTAATAAAATTTCTTAGTTGCTAGGGATCCAAGAGTGTAGTGGTTTAGAGCCAAGTTTCTCCATAAATGGTTTTGGATTCGAGTCCTAACATGTGTGTGTGAGTTTAGGTGAATATCATCCATTTCAATAGGAGAGGCCCTACGAAAAATGTTTCCTCAGTTAAAAACCACTCTTAAATTTGAGGCAACCTAATATGATACTCTTCTTCCCCCTCCTTAGTGAACGACAAAAAGAAAAGAAAAGAGAATAATCTTTCATTTTATTTTTATTTTTATACAAGCGATAATTTACTTTAAACTAATCTAAATTACGAAAATGGGAATTCGAACTCGGGTGCACAGTGAAACCTTTTCTTTTTATTGGCAAAAAAAAGAAGGACCTTTCTTTTCCCTCTTTCCTTCTTTTCTTTATTAATTTATATATGTAATCATGTAGGAATCTTGCTTTTCCATTTTGTCACTTTGTAATAGTTCTCAAACTTGGTTTTTTTTTTCCTTGAAAAATTTGTAGTTTTTTTTAAACATGAAAGTATATTATCATAAACATAAAACCCATGGCAAATCAATCGGAATTGTCAATGGGAGTTTATCACAATGGTGTGGTCATCCCCTTCCCCTTGACTAGAAAAACTTACTTGTAACGGGATAACATTATTTTGCTATCCCCATTATATGAAAGTCTTTCTCTCATGAAACGCATGAATTCAAACCGCTCTGTTTACACCTTGTGAAAACCACCCAAATATTATCCTCCTCCCCCTCCTTAGTGATTAACCCCAAAAAAAAAAATCATTTGGAAATTGAATTCAGACAATACATGAATATCAGATCCTATCCCGTCTTCACTGGACGTGTTTCCGAGAGTACCGTAGTACCCTAAAAAAGGGATTGACTCACCTTAATTTTAGGCTTAACCGAAAATGTTCATTGGCCCAACTTCGGGCCCACTTGAAGAAATTGAAAGTAAAAGATGAGATATGGTACCTGAATAAAGTGAGGTGAACAAGCAAGTAGTGAATGAGTTGAAAAAGACACTAGACTAGACACATCATGATTGAAAACTCAATGATCGTTTCTTACTTTTCTTTTTCGGAGTTTTCAACTTTTTCTATGTACTATAAATGTAGGCAACTCCTTTAAAGGACCGTTAGCGCTGGTGGCAATAGCCGGTAGGTTGGCAAAAACTAATGGTTGAAGGTAATAGCGCTTATTGGAGAAGTTACCATCATTGGGTTCGAGTGCCTTGCTTTTTGAGATGGTTTGGCCTATCCTATTCTTTCTAAGCTTATTATTTGACTGTGTGAACCAGGTTGCTTCTATCCTTCGGAGCATTGAGCTGCCTATCAAAATAAAGGACTCTTTTTTGTTTTTTGACTGGGTCATGGGGGACGGGAAGGACCTCAATCACTGAGCTAAACCCAAGCAAGGACGCATGCCATTATTGCTTTTAAGAATAATAAAGCAATGAATTCTTGTACTTATACCAGTGTTTTAAATTTAATACAAGAATAATGTGACTCAAACTGTAATTTAGTCAACTAAATCTAACTTTAGTCTCAGATCAGTAATCTGAAGTTTCAAAACTTAAACACTTACATTGACGAAGCCATGAATTTTGTCAAGCGAGGTCATAACATACCTACTAATACTAAGAGGTGCAATGCAAAGACAGAATATAGTTAAGAACAAATCAACCACTTCTTTGCTCACTTGAGCAAACAAAACTTTGTGGCTTTTTGTATCTATTAGGAGTCTCAAGCTCACACTAGGGTTGGAGGTTGCTGCCATATTGAACTAGTGTGATGAAGAAGACATAGCTTATTGCCAGCATATGCCAATATTTGTTTCGTATTGCCTAATTATAGATTGATAATTGAAGCACTCAAACGTTGCCTTTATTGCAGTGAACCTCAACATTGTGTATCATGTTACAGGGCATTGTGCCAATGAAACTCAACATTGGAACTTGGTTTTCATCAACACGCATCTAGAGCTTGATCTCTATTTTTCTCACCCTTTTAGGACTTTAGGGAGCCACTTAGCAGATTCTTTGTGAATGCGCTTGAGATTGTTTTTGTAATCGATGTAGTAAAGCCCGAATCGTAAGGTATAGACATATCTTGAGGCTTCTTTGGAGCTAAAGGATCGTTGAGGTAGCAGATTGGCTTCTTTGGAGTTGCAGGGTCGTTTTTACCATATCTTGAGATATAATAATTGATGCCAACAAATCACAGGAACCCTTCAACAATCTCCTCTCTTCCTTGGTGAAAATGGGCAGCCTTTCCTTGACCAAATGTCTCATGCTCTTTGGATAATCTCCATATACCAATGGCTCCGTGTACCATCCAAGTTCAAAGTCCATATATCTCTTTACTGCAGCTCTGTCTTCTGTTGATTCTGAGTAAGGCTCCACATATTCTCCTATAAGACTAATTCCACTTTGTCCACCTTGTTTCTCTGTAAAGCTCAACAATAGTGGCATGGGCTAGGACTACTAGGAGAAGGCTATGGTTCACCATGTAAGGTTCAGTGACTGAATTGCCTTCCCTGCATGGAAACCCTGCTGGAACAGAAAGCCTTCCCGGCGCATAAATTCCAAGGTCATATCCCAATTTGGCAATGATCAACGGCTTGTTGATTGCGATCCAATTTTTTACCCGATCTCCAAATGTTCTAAAACAGATTTCAGTGTAAGCCTTGAAATCATCCACAAAGGAACTTCAATGGGCTGAAAAGGATATGGTGTTAACTGCCCACAAAGGAACACATTGGTGAGAACTGCATTGGATTCCAATGATGCCTTTAGCAATTTTAGACCCTAAGAATTCATGAAAAGAAAATGATCATTTTGAATAAGATAAAAATACCTCCAACCAAAACAAAAACAAAGAGAACGCAAACCTCATCCATGCCTAGATGAACGATCCTCTCTTCAAGGGCACCAACTTCCTTAACATTGAACTTGTTCAGCATCACGATATGGTAGACATAGGCTTCACTTCCAAATTATCCATTATCATGTATGTAACAACACATACCCTCCTCCACCACCACCAGATGAACCGAGTATAGTTGAACGGATTTTCTATTTTAATATATTGTATTTAAACATATAGCCGCGCTGCTATACTATTAATTACAAATAAAATTAAAAAAAACACGGCGTATAGCCGGGCGGCTATACTATTAATTTAGGAAAAATTAAAAACGGAGTATAGCCGACCGGCTATACCATTAATTTAGGAAAAATTAAAAAACGGCGTATAGCCGGCCGGCTATACTACTTATTTAAAAAAATTGAAAAAAACACAGCGCTCTTTTAATATATTGTATTTAACAGTATAGCCGCGCGGCGATACTATAATTGAAATAAAAAAAATTAAAAAATGGCGTATAGCCGGGCGGCTAGACTATTAATTTAAGAAAAAAATAAAAAATGAAGTCTAGCCGGTCGGCTATACTATTAATTTGAAAAAAATTAAAAAAGAGTATAGCCGCTCGGCTATACGATTTATTTATTTTTTAAAATAGAAAAATGGACCCAGGTATAGCCGATATTTATTATTAAAAAACAAAAAAAAGGACCCGAGTATAGCCGATTGGCTATACTATTAATTTCAGGAAAAAAAAGAATACCGTTTAAATATAAAATATAATATTTAAATAGTATAGCCGCTCGGCTATACAATTTATTTAAAAAAAAAAGAAAAAAAGCTATACAGGCTTTACATTTCCCTCGCTGCCTGGCTCGCTTCAGTGAATCACACTTCCCATCAAAGTCTTCAAGTTCAAGGCCAGAAAAGTGGTGGGCAATTCCTCATTTGAGCTCTCATGGAGCCTCCCAAGAAATCAAAGAAAAGCAAGAAAGATAGGAAATTGAAAAAAAACTTAAGTTTGGTTCCAGTCGAGCCTAAAGCCGCAGACTCTGACTGGTGGGATAGTTTCTTCAAACCAAGGTTTTTCTTTTCACTAAGCTCAGTCTCCAATTACTCTGCTTCCTGCTTTTTAGTGGAATGCATTCTGATTACTTGTAGTTTTAACTAAATTATCTTTATATTTTGTTTATTTTGGAAAATCTATGATGCACAGACATCTAGAACAGGTGGTGGATTTTGTTCTGTAATGTTAAATTCGGTAATGATGTTCATAATTAGAGCTCAAAACCTATAAACTGTGCTTTTGTTCAGTTAGGTTGTTGGAAAAATTGGGCTAGGCGCTAGGCGGCCGCCTAGGCGGGTCTAGGCGGGTCTAGGCGGGTCCATATATTTTTTTTTCTGACTTTAGCTCAATTATGAAATCACTTCAATTTCTGATGGCCGCTATATGAAAACTGGCTTTTGTTTATGTGTTTTGCATCCTGAAAAGAGAAAGATGTGGTCGAAAAGTTATTGCTAGAGGGAGCAATAGAGATTTTAGCCTGTAAAAGCTTTTTGTATTTAGTATTTTGGTTTTTACCTATATGACAATTTTTTTAAATTAATGCCTGAATTTTCTCGTGGATATGTATTGTCAGATAGGAAAGCTTAAGAAGGAGCTTAATCCAATGTCCTTTGGAGACCTTCTGTCTGTGTCTCCTTAATACAGACACAGAAACACATATTCGGGCTTTGCTTGTTGTTATATGGAAGCAAGTTTTTCTGTCTTCCTATTTCCCTTTTTGTAGATTTTTTTACTTTTTTTCGAGTTGATTTCTGTTTTGAACTTTCCATGATAACTTAACTTTATTCTGTTTGAGTGATGTAATTCATCTGTGCTGCTGTGCAGATTCTTCACTATCCAATGATGAGGAGGAAAGTTTTAAGTATTTCTTTAGCGTCTCTGAGAAGACTTTTGACTATATCTATTCCCTTGTAAGAGAAGACCTTGTGTCGAGGCCACCGTCAGGTCTCATCAACATAGAAGGAAGGCTTCTTAGTGTTGAGAAACAGGTTGCAATAGCCCTGAGAAGGTTGGCATCCGGTGAGTCTCAAGTCTCAGTGGGAGCTGCATTCGGGGTAGGCCAGTCCACAGTTTCTCAGGTGACTTGGAGATTCATTGAAGCATTGGAAGAACGTGCCAAGCACCATCTTAAGTGGCCTGATTCCAACAGAATGGAAGAAATAAAGTCCAAACTTGAAGAAGCCTTTGGATTGCCCAATTGTTGTGGAGCCATAGATGGTACACACGTCATTATGACCCTTCCTACCGTTCAAACATCAGAGGATTGGTGTGACCTGGAGGACAACTACAGCATGCTCTTGCAGGGAATTGTTGACCATGAGATGAGGTTTCTTGAAAGTTGTAACTGGTTGGCCTGGGGGCATGATGGTGTCTAGACTTTTAAAGTGTTCAGGATTTTTCAAGCTCTGTGAAGGTGGACAGCGTTTGAATGAAAATGTTAGAACTTTATCTGGAGGAGTAGAGATTAGAGAATACTTAGTTGGTGGGGTTGGCTATCCTCTGCTTCCCTGGCTCATAACTCCTTATGAAAGCAATGGCCTCCCAGCTTCCATTTCCGCTTTCAATGCCGTGCATGGGGGCTGCAAGGTCAATTGCAGTAACGGCATTCACGCATTTAAAGGGCACTTGGAGAATCCTTAACAAGGTCATGTCACATGTGGAGACCCAATAAGTGGAAACTTCCGAGCATCATCTTGGTATGTTGTTTACTTCACAATATAAGAATTGACAGTTGAGATATATTACAACCAGATGTTGCTTTATCTGGTCATCATGACTCGGGATATGGCGAACAATGCTGTAGGAAAGTTGATCCATTGGGGAGGACTATGAGGGATATCCTAGTGAAACACTTGCTGCACCAAAGTGATTCTTGTTCTGCCAGTCTGGTTTGGTTTAAATGAGTTGGAAGTTTGGAACGGTTTCAATCTGTAAAAGTATTTGCTTCGGCAATTTCACCGGCACCAGCCATACATGACATGAAATGCTGAATTGCTTCTCTTATTCACATTGACGTGCATAAAAGAAATGTATGTATGTTTTTGACAGACTGTGAATCAGCCATCTTTGTATGGCGGCTTGGAAAGTAGAATGGAAGCTCATTTTGTCAGAGTCTACGAGAACTTGTAACACCAAAGAAGTTTAAAGCCAAAACTAAGCATGTACAGCAGATGGGGCCTGGCATGTACAGCAGGATCTCAAAACTAAGCAAGACCCAATACTCCTCTCTATAAAATATGGCAAAACAAGTAGAGTTCTCTAAAAAGAAAAAACTTATGGACAATGAGACAAAACTAATGCCTCATCATTACTTTAAAACTATACCATGGGACCATGAAATTCCATTGCTTCAATCTCCCTTAGTTGGGGGCTGTATGCATGCACAGAAGGGCGCTTTCTTGCTTTTCTGGTTGATTCTATTGCCACCATAGATATAGTCCCTCAGAAGAACTCTTGTTTTCCGCTCCGTGATCCTTGTTGATTCTCTGCTTTCCTTTTCACCATCAAGTTTCAGAAGAAGAAATTGCAGTTTCTGCAACTCCAACTGTAGCCGCCCAATTTTTTCGGGCCCTCTTTTTGCTTGCTCTGAAAGTCTCATTCTTCTCACAGACTCACACTCCCACTTTCATCCGACACTACCCCAGAAGCTCCATCAGAGAACAGAGGACCATCTTCAACGTTCTTCAACAATTTTTGATTGACATCAAACAACTTAGTGATGGCCTCGTCAGCTTCTTCCAGCTGCCCCTTCACGTTTTCAAATTCAATACCTTTGCCCTTTTTGCTCTTTTCAGTAATCTCCACCTTCCTCTTCAGGTCTTCCACGGTTATTTGAATTCACGCTTCTTCATAGTGTTACCAACCCCATCTCCGAATTTCTACCTGATTTGTGGAAAAATGCCTTTTCAATAGCTTTAATTCTTCTTTGTAAATCCTGCAAGTCCGAAACACCATCTGATACCGTGGCCACTTGATCTCCATCCAAATGAGAGCTTTCAGCATGCAGACAGTCATCCTGGATACAAGTGGAATATAGATGTGTCAAATTCAAATGATATCCAAAATCGCATGCACCATTGAACTATTGAAATCAAATGCAACATGCCATAAGCTATAAGCCATAAGGTGAACAATTCATGTCCAGCCCAAAATTGAAGTACCACTTTTATTATAAATATATATATGAAATTTGAGGCCTCAAAAGTAAAATAAAAGGAAGTTCAAAAGAGAATCCCGGAGCCACAAACAACTTGCATAATTCTGAAAATAAACCATATATTCAAATACTGGCTCCGCAAATCATCTAATATAAAAAGCAAGTCTTTCAAAAGACTTTCTGGCTAGAAGATCATACACGATGGCATTTGAAGAGTTCATACTAGTTCAAAAGAGGACAGAAAATGTGCAGGACCAATCAAAAACTGCTAACCCATTATGGTTATGGATAAGGAAATTAATGGAGTAAAACTTTAAGTTCCAGATAGAAAAAAAGAAGAGAGTATTGAAGCTTTAATAAATGGATCATCACCTCAATCCAATTTCCCATTACAGAGGGAATGTATAAACAGACATGGAGATTACCTCCGATTCTTCTGTGTCTAGTTTATGAGATGTGGCGTCTGCAAGCACATGCTTCTCAGGTGCTGTTGTACACTCCTTCAAAGAGATGACACCTGGAATATAGGCAGCCAACTGAGCTTGTAGCCCTGATAAACGACAATCAAGGAAAAAAAATTGAAAAAAAGAAGAAGAAGAAAAGATGCCATACTATTTATTAAAATATATTATATTTAAAGCGTACAGCCGAGCGGCTATACTATTTATTAAAAAATAAAAACAAAGGCCAAAAAAGGCTATACAAGCTTTACATTTCCCTCGCAGCTCGCTGCCTGGCTCGCTTCACTGAATCGCACTTCCCATCAAAGTCTTCAAGTTCAAGGCCAAAAAAGAGGTGAGCAATTCCTCATTTGAGCTCTCATGGCGCCTCCCAAGAAATCAAAGAGAAGCAAGAAAGATAGGAAATTGAAGAAAAAGCGTTCCAGTCGAGCCTAAAGCCGCAGACTCCGACTGGTGGGATAGTTTCTTCAACCCAAGGTTTTTCTTTTCACTAAGCTCAGTCTCCAATTACTCTGCTTCCTGATTTTTAGTGGAATGCATTCAGATTACTTGTAGTTAGGCTGTTGGAAAAATCGTCCTAGGCGCTAGGCGGGTCTAGGCGGGTCCATTTTTTTTTCTTGACTTTAGCTAAATTATGAACTCGCTTCAATTTCTGATGGCCACTTTAAGAAAACTGGCTTTTGATTATATGTTTTGCATCCTGAAAACAGAAAGATGTGGTCGAAAAGTTATTGCTAGAGGGAGCAATCGAGATTTTGGTTTTTACCTATAACGACCATTTTTAAAAATTAATGCCTGAATTTTCTGGGGGATATATTTTGTCAGATAGGAAAGCTGAAGAAGGGGCTTAATCCAATGTCCTTTGGAGGCCTTCTGTTTGTGTCTCCTTATCTGACAACAGCCTTCAAAACTGAAGTCATAGCTCTCGCCGTAAGTAATTTACATAATTCTTTAATTACTGATGTTGGTTAGGCCAGTTGTATTGCAAACCGTTCTTAATTATAACAATGAATGGATTGTGGGTTTTCCTAATAGCTATGTGCAGGAAGGAATAGCAGTAGGGAGAAGCTTTTCCATATTCAAGAATTAGCACATTGATGGGAACAAATAAATAATTGCCATTGGGATGATGAACTTTGCTGGTTCTTGCACTTCTTGCTACCTCACCACAGGTTAATCACTCATCATACACATTTAATACTAATTAAATTAAGGGGTTTAATCTTAATTAGATTCATTTCATGTTGCTAATTAAGCGAAATTTTTTCATCAATTTTCAGGGCCGTTTTCCAGATCAGCAGTTAACTACAATGCAGGATGCAAGACGGCAATGTCGAATGTTGTCATGGCAATTGCGGTTATGTTCACATTGTTGTTCCTCACTCCTCTGTTCCATTACACTCCCCTGGTTGTGCTGTCTGCTATTATAATAGCCGTCATGCTCGGCCTCATAGATTATGAAGCCGCAATTCACCTCTGGAAGGTTGACACGTTTGACTTTGTTGTCTGCATGAGTGCCTATATCGGCGTTGTTTTTGGCAGCCTTGAAATTGGACTAGTCTTAGCGGTATGTACGACTATATGTCACACCAGTAAAAAGTTATTGTGTGTGACAATAACACCATATCAACAACTTAACATTACTTATTAGAACTAAGATTTCTTTTTTCTCGTGTGTAGGTTGCAAGATCTGTGATCAGGGTACTTTTGTTTCTGGCAAGGCCAAGGACTTTTGTTCAAGGAAACCTTCCGAATTCCATGGTTTACAGAAATGTTGAGCAGTATCCCAATGCAAGCAATGTTCCTGGAATTCTCGTACTGGAGATTGATGCTCCCATTTACTTTGCAAATACCAACTACTTAAGAGAAAGGTACTAATTAATTAAACCTGAACACACTCTTGCATGTTATAATCAAATTTAAAAATAATAATTTGGAAGTTGACCCAATGTCCTACTTGTTTTCAGGATTACAAGGTGGATAAATGATGAGGAAGATAGGATCAAATCTGCAGGGGAAAGTAGCTTACAATATGTGATATTGGATATGACTGGTAACTAAGGGAAACAAATAGTGCATATGTATATAAAGAAAATTAATGTGACATTTTTTACCCTGAAATTAATTTGTTTTCTGGTTTAATTTGAAGCTGTTGGTAACATAGACACAAGTGGGATAAGCATGTTTGAAGAGGTCAAAAGGCTTGTTGACAGAAGGGGGCTCCAGGTTCAAAAATCTGCAACAGTCTTTCAATTTATCAAATATTTCCTTCCAAATTTTTATTTTCATCTGTTTATATAACTCTATAATTTTGTTTCTGTGTTTAGCTTGTACTGGCGAACCCGGGAAGCGAGGTGATGAAGAAGATGAACTAGTCAGAGTTGATTGAGAAAACATGTCAAGAATGGATTTATCTCACAGTTGCAGAGGCTGTTGCAGCATGCAACTTCATGCTTCACTCCACCAAGCCCAACCCTGGCAAAGATCAAGAACCAGCTGATGGAACAACGTTTAATGGCTTTGGCTGGCTACAATGTGAATTTATGTATCAGAAAGCAATATCCACATAAATATGAAGACTCGTTTGAATTAAGGAGAAATGAATTTCAGGAAACAACGTTTGATGGCTTTGGCGGCTATACTACTAAATTTGGGAAAAAAATTACGAACAGGGAGTATAGCCGTGCGGCTATACTCGTTTAATTATATTTAAACAGTTTAGCCGCATGGTCATACTTTTTACTTTTTTGAAAAAAATTTAAAAAACATAGTATAGCCGCCCGGCTATACTATTAATTGAAAAAACAATTTAAAAACACCGAGTATAGCCGTGCGGCTATACCTTTTCAAGATATTATATTTAAAACGTATAGCCGCGTGGCAATATTGTTAATTTGGAAAAAAAAAAAAAAAACAGGGAGTATAGCGGCGTGGCTATACTATTTTTATATATATATTATATTTAAACAGTATATTCATTGGAATAAATTTTTTTTTAAACTTAGTATAGCCGCCCGCCTATACTATTAATTTCCGGAAAAAATTAAAAAGGGAGTATAGCAGCTCTACTTTGTGCTTTCTGAAATTTTATTCCAATTAATAGTATAGCAAAAATGAAGAAAACGATATATTCAACGGCAAAAGAGTAACACATGAGTCTCAAAAACATCTTGGAGTCGCACAAGCTCAGAAGTTCTAGCAAAAGTTAGTTCAGCTACCTTAACAGAAGAAACTGTCCTCTGAAAAGGAGCATGGTGAAGTCGATTTCATCAATTTACAACTGATTATTTACCACAAAATAACAGTGTAAGACACTCTTTATGAATCCCTAGTCCGAACTCAGACGCACAACAGTCAAACATGCTCCAAAATTCCATTTCCAGAATTGATCAGGCGCAAAGTTGACATGATTACTCCTCTTTCTTCCCAAGGAAGACATTGGTGAGAACTGCGTTAGACTCCAATGATGCCTTGAGCAATTTCAGACCCTAAAAAATTAATGAAAAGAAAATGATCATTTTGAACAAAATAACAATTCCTCCAACCAAAACAAAAAACAAAAGAATATAACAGCAGCTCAACTGTGGAAAATTAGCTTTGATTAAAAGGGTTTAGGGTTTTAGAAGGACATCCTTGTTGAGGGTTGGGTTGCAAGTATGTGTCGTTTAGGTTTTCTAAGCTGCCGTAAAGTTTGCCTAAATAACCGACCATGCGTATCTTAGAGAGGAGCCCGATCATAGTGCCGACGGGTAGAGAAAGAAGGGTGAAGAGAAAGTCAACAAAATCCTTGCCAGCTTCCGCGAAGAGAACTTTTTAATGCTTTTTGTCGATGAGGAGCTTCAAACTAACTGGAGAAGTAGAGATTGATTTGGTTTTGGGTTTAGATTTGAAGGGGGCCACACTAGTAAAAAAAAAACCCGTTGCGCGATCAAATTTTGCGCGACAAAACACAATACGTCGCACAAAATGACTTTGTGCGACGAAAATTAAACTTCGTCACTCAAAGTCTTACGCGACAAAATTTTGCGCAACGAAACACAAATCGTCACACAAAGTAACTTTGCGCGACGACAAAGCATCATTGCTCAAAGTAACTTTGCGCGACGAAACACTAAAATTCGTGCACAAAGTCTTGCGCGTCGAAGTGTGGTTCGTCTCATAAAGTCTTTACAAAAATAAAGAAAATAAAAATTATTTTAAAAAATCTTTGCACGACTTTGCGTGACGAAACAATAAAATTCGGTGCACAAAGTCTTGTGCGACGAAGTGTGTTTCGTCTCGTAAAGTCTTTACAAAAATAAAAAAAATAAAAAATTATTTTTAAAAATCTTTGCATGACTTTGCGCGATGAAACACAAATATTCGGTGCACAAAGTCTTGCGCGACGAAGTGTGTTTCGTCTCGCAAAGTCTTTACAAAAATAAATAAAATAATTTTGTTATAAAAATCTTTGCATGACTTTGCGCGACGAAATACTAAACTTCATCTTGCAAAGTCTTTACAAAAATAAATAAAAGAAAAAAATTATTTTGTTAGAAAAATATAATATTGTAGTTCGGATTGGGTTTTTGTTAGAAAATATATATTTTAAATTGACGATCAGATTGGTTCATTGTATTCATATAGGGTCAAGGAGTGTAGCTGTAAAAAATCATCAAAATCGAAATTGAAATTACCGTTAAATTGTGATTTTTGGTTTATAACCGTCGAAAAGTTTTGTCCTATTACTTGATCTCTGAATGTTTAATTTTTCTGATTTTTGGCGTATATGATCTCAAAGTATAAACAAACAAGTTTGACAGTTGGATCGTTGAAACTAGTTTTGTAGAATGCGTATGCCATCAAAACAATATATTCACTAACAATTAAGAGTTTATTTATACTTTTGTTAAATATAACATAAGATTTTGTGGTATCCACTAGTGTAAATATTTTAAATTGAAGATCAAATTGAGTCATTGTATTCATATAGGGTCAAGGAGTGTAGCTGTAAAAAATCATCAAAATCGGAGTTAAAATAACTGTTAAATCGTGCTTTTTGTTTATAACCA